GTAGCAAAGTTTCACTCTGCTGCTTGAGCTGACAAGAATAGCTTTAAGTTGAGGAATTTCATCATGAAACGATGTTCTTGCCAGCAGATATTTTGCACAGTCAATCGCATTTGTCTCAAGACTGTTTTCTACTTCAACTTCTGACTCTTTCATTGTTTCAAGCTTTTTGTGCCTTTTGGACTGCTATCCTGGGAATGCACTGTTTGACACCTGTAGAAGAGATCTTTACAAGGTGGCCAGAACGTGAACATTTCTCTTCTGTTGTCATTTACTACATAAAAGATGAAAGTTAAAAGATGCCTGTCCTTCAGGGCTCCTGTAGTCATTTGGAGCCCAGATGCCCCCACTCCTCCACATTGCCCCGTCGTGTTCATTAGCTTGGGCTTGAGGGAACTACTTAAATTTCCACCCTTTTGCTTGCAGCCAGCCCCTGGCAGCGTTCCATCGCCCGAGCAGCAGCAGATGCTCTGCAGCCAGCTCGAGAAGATCCACACGCTGTTCAGGCGCCAGCTGGGGATCCCGCTGTTAGGTAAGAGCCCCGGTGCACTCAGAGATGGCATGGATAAGCTGTGTTGTGACGATTTGGGGATTAGTTGTGAATATTCTCTCGGTAAAGCCACACAAACCGCAGCTGTGGTACTTGTGTATTCATTAATCGATGGCCTTTACCTGTCTTTAGGGCCTCTTGAGTGATGCACAGGTCCCTTTTGTTCAGAAATACCCTTACCCGTTGAAACCTGGTTTATCTGCCTCTTCAGTACGTGATTTGAGGCTATGTAAAGTACAAGTGATGAGCACAAAACATGACTGTTGCGAAGGAGCTGGGAATTCAGCTGTGAACCTTGGTTGGTAGGGAGCAGTACACGCTGACAGCTGGATTGTTTAGAATCCTGTGGTATCTAGCTCATACTTTAAACCCCCTGAGTCCCTTTTCTTGCTGCTTTACTTACAGGAGAAAGTTAAGTATGGTTCTTCAAATCTTGCTAGTTTGGTTTTCTAAATCCAGATTGGTAGCTTGGATATAACTTGCCCTAGGTTTGTGTGTACACTGTATAACATGAAGTGTCTGGACAGTTCAAGCACGCAGTAGTGTGACAGTTAAGATCAGAAGTGTAAATAAACATAGGAATATGTGTTGGGATCAAACATAGGTTGAAATCTGGTTATTTAGTTCAGTGAGTACGTTACTGATGGGGTTTCCTGTGTGTTCTAATAGATATGGAGGCTTCATATGCTGAATATGAGGAGTGGTCAGAAGATCCAATTCCAGAAACAATAATAAAGAATTACAAAAAAGCTCTGCAGCAATTGGAGAAGTGTAAACCGTATGAAGAGGCACTGGTAATGTTGTTACTTATACCTTCCTCTAAAACTAAGAGTTAAGTGCTTTGGGGTGATTATTTTATTACTTATAAAGCAGCTGAGTGACTTCTTCAGCTGTGAGCAGTGTGAGCCAAGAAGCCTCACAACTGGGTATACTGGAAACTATTGAATCTGTTGACTGTGTCAGGCCACCCTAGGGTGCACCTGAGCTCTCTCGCTGTTTCTTCCAGCATTGATGAGCGTGCTGGGCTAAGAGGAATAAAAAGCAGGGATCTGAATGGCTTTAGAACCAGGGTGGTATCCAGAGATATATGAAAATCAAAAGCTGTTGATGTTTGGAGGCAAGCTCTCGTGTGAAATTTTGCGTGAGACCTGCTCTGAGTAACAGTTGAACTGTTAGAATTGTGCTTTATTCACAAGGTTCTAATTTTTTTTATCCGTTTGTTTTGTAGCTGGGTGCTGAAACACCAAAACTAGCAGAATACCAAGCTTACATTGATTTTGAAATGAAAGGAGGTGATCCAGCCCGCATTCAGTTGATCTATGAGAGGGCTTTAGCTGAAAACTGCCTTGTGCCAGATCTTTGGGCACGCTACAATCAGTACTTGGTAAGGAAAAAAACCCAGATGTTTGCAGTTTTTTATTTTCCTGGGTTTCTTTTTAATCTTAGTGGCTGATAAGGTTTAAGAAGGTGGGTTTATGAAGAGATCAGTGTCACTTGCTACAGGAGGTGTATCTGGGCTGAGCTGCCCTGTTGTGTCTCTATCTTACCAGTTTGAGACTGCAGGTGTGGGTGGAACAGCACCTGCCTCCCTTGAGTAGGCTGTGTCCACACCGTCTTTCTTGTATCCTTTCCTCCCCTCTTCTAAACATACTAAGAGCAGTTGGGAGTTAAAAATGAAAGTATTGTTTTAAGGTGTTGGCTCTTTATAAGCTGGTATGATTTCGATGGGCTTTCTGGCTCATAAGAACTGAAATCTTTGTTATATGATTATTTCAGGACCGGCAGCTGAAAGTGAAAGAGTTGGTGTTGTCAGCTCATGACCGTGCTGTTAGGAACTGTCCCTGGACAGTTGGGCTGTGGATTCGATACCTTTTGGCGATGGAGAGGCACAGAGTTGATCACAGCGTTATTTCTGGTAAGGAAAGGCCGTCTCAGCAAGACTTCTTTACAGCACAGAACTGCCCTCTGCCCTCCGGCTAATGCGTGCCTGTAGGATGCTGCAGGATTTGTTTTCATCCTGCTGCTACAAGTAAAACTGAGGAAATGTGGAGTACGTGCTTCTAGGGCAAAGCTGCTTTTGTTGAGCAGCTTCAGTTCTGAGCGATCAATTTACTTCAGCACTGCATGAACTTGGTTAAACTGGCTTCTAAATTCATTTCCTCAACCAATTTAGTGTATGTGGGATTTCTTGGTTTTTCCTGTCTTCTTAGAAACATGAGGTGTATATACGTTGTGCTGTTCACTGTAGCTTGCTGGTTTTGTCTGTACCTGAGAAGTAACTGTGTTTGTACAGGTTTCTTCTTCATTTTCTTTCAGAAATGTTTGAAAAAGCTCTGAATGCGGGTTTTATCCAAGCAACAGACTATGTAGAGTTCTGGCAGGCGTATCTTGACTACCTGAGAAGAAGGGTGGACTTTACACAAGGTATATATTATTTATGTGTAAATAAATATTTAAACTAGTTTCTGTATACCTCTCTGACACAGTGGTGTTACGAACAGTTTCGTATCTTTCAGAAAACTGCTTTCTGAAAGCAATTGCCTGTTAGTGTGTATAAAATATATGACCTTAATTAGTTTAAAGCAGCTCCTCGCTGACAGACTAGATTGTGCTGCTGCAAAAATGCCCTGCCTTATATTTTCAGTACTTGATATATTGGGTTTTTTTTAATTGTCCATGTAGTGAGTTTTACTGAAGGAATAAACTTTGCCATCCCCCACTTCCCCTGTAAAATTGTGGATGTTAGGGAAGAGGATTAGTGGATGGGAGATTAAAATTAACTTATTTTTTTTAAGGCAATTCTTTCTTTTTTCTAAAGACTCAAGTAAAGAACTGGAAGAGCTGCGGTCTGCGTTTGCACGTGCTGTGGAGTATCTGAAGCAAGAAGTAGAAGAGCGTAAGTGCGCTCACCCAATATGTTGTTTCCTTTTGTTAGAAATAATTTTTATAAGGCTAGTTCTCCACACAGTGTTTAACTTGTCCTGAAGTGTTTCATACACTTTAAAAAAGCTGCAGATAAACATTTCATCGACAACCTAGAACTTGTTTAATAGATGCTCTTTCCAAGCGCCATTCACAAACAGTGCTTATTTTTGTCCCCAGGATTCAGTGAAAGCGGGGATCCGTCCTGCACCATCATGCAGAACTGGGCGAGAGTTGAGGTGATGTTTCTATCTGCTGTATTTCAGTTGCTTGACTAAAGGGAATTGATGGCTTTAACATTGCAACCACAGAATGTGACCCTCTTGTACTTAGTGTTTTGTCCGAGTAACTTCAGTGAGTAAATCTTTCTTCTTCCGCTCCTGTGTCTGGACTGGTCAAGCACATGGTGTAGCTTCAGGCTGCTCAGGAAAGGAACCGCATTTTCTTTGAGAGAGTTCAGGGCTGTTAGCATGTTTATACTGCTGAGACTGCAGTATGGTACAGAGATGTGTAACTGTTAGCAGGTTAGCCACAATGACTTGAAACTGAACACTGAAGTCTGTAAACTGCCTGGAATCCCACCTCATTTAGTGCTGCCTACACTAACTTGTTTCAAACGAGCACAGGTATCAATGTGCTGATGCACTCACTGCCTGTGAGTTGATGTTTGTTTTCCTTCCTTTGCCATAGGCTCATAGGAATCCCGATACGTCGTGTTACTTCTGTGCCATAACTTCTCTGGGCATAGTGCATGGGATGGCTTGCCAAAGTCTTGAGCCTTGTAATCCCGAACAACATGGGCCTGAATCTGAGTTAATAACTCCCACTTTCTGTTCAATTAGTGGAGGGAGAAAGTAGGGGCATCCAGGTGGGATTCAGCCCATGCTAAAGCAGCTTTAATGAATGAGCTGTACCTGTGTAACTCTGCAGTGAGATCAGGTGGATCCCACTTGGGTGTTGTAATCTATTTCCCCTCTTCCCCTGCTCCCTTTCCTAAGCACTTCTCTCACCAAGAACTGGGTTTGTTTTAAGTGCTCTGTTAAGTATGGTCACAAATAATGACAGAAGGAAAACTTCAGAAGTAACTATCTATTTTTTTTATAATGACCAAAATGAAATGTATGTGGCAGCCAGAAACCAAGATTGATGCAAGAGGTGGGCAGGGAGGTATTATTCACGAGTAGGATTGCATTAGGTGTTCATTTTGGTCGATCTGAGACGCAGGTGTATCTTCCTGGGTTTGTGTCCATGATCTGTGGTGTTTTCTTGTGTGGAGGAGGCAGGGGGGTAATGGTCTTGAACAAATAAAGCTGAACTATACTGAGTGCTTTGGGTGCTGTGTTTCAGGCCCGTTTATGTAACAACATGCAGAAGGCCAGAGAACTCTGGGACAACATCATGACTAAAGGGAACGCCAAATACGCTAACATGTGGCTGGAGTATTACAACCTGGAAAGGTAAGAGCTTGGCTGGTTGGAAAAGTGAAGTAACTTCTTAGTTTCCTCATCTGTGAGACAAGACTTAGCTGCTTAGCATGAGTATACTGTATGTGGGTTTATAATGTGGTTTTGAGGTTCTTCCAGCAGCTCTGCAGTATATTTCAGAAGTATCCCAGCAACAATGCACAGTGAGAAGGGGAAGGAGGGGAAATATTTGCGTAGAATGCAGTGAAGCGTCCTGTTGTAACCTGGCTGTGGGGGGTTGGCTCTTCACTGCTGTGGTTTTCTGCTGCAGGGCTCACGGGGACACGCAGCACTGCAGGAAGGCCTTGCATCGGGCTGTGCAGTGCACCAGTGATTATCCAGAGCATGTCTGCGAGGTGCTGCTCACGCTGGAGAGGATAGAAGGTAACTAACTATACATGGTCTTGTTTTACCTGGTACACTGATACAGGGTGAATTTTGAGTCGTCTTTTGTGTTCTGGTGAAAGCTTTTCATTTGACTACTGTGGTGAAAACAAGCAGCTCTTTTTATTTCTTTTCTGGCTTGACTTGGAGCCTGCTGCAATGGATTGAGATTTTTCCTTGTCTTTTCAGAGTGTTGTGTTATAAATGAGAGGTTTCTCCTGTGCTTGGTTTTTGTTTTCTCTGAAGGCCACTTGTTATACTTAAAACTTTCATGTGTAATGGTTAAGATTAAGTTGCATGAACTGAGAGACTCTTATTTTTCCAGAATTGTATTTTCAAATTACGGGAAAGCTAAATAAGGCTTTTTTTTTTCTTTTTTAATCCTTTAGGAACATTGGAAGACTGGGATGCAGCAGTTCAAAAAACAGAAAACAGATTAGCTCGAGTTAATGAACAAAGAGCAAAGGTCAGAACTTTGTCAGCTACCTCTGCAGTTTATAGGAAATACCTGTCCTAAGGTCATGCTTGTTTAAATGTCAGATTTCCAATGTTGGTTCCTGTAGATAATCCAGAATTGTTTTAAGGCTTAAGAATTACTGATTTTCATTTAAAACCATGATTAATGTCCTTTGATGCTTTTTATCTTTCGCCTTTTGACTCTTGAATGGATCTGGGAAAGCTGTAAGAGCAAACAACTGAGAAGTGCTTTAAATTATGATCCCATTAGTGCCGTGTTTAATGTAGCTTAGGAGAAAACCCTCCAAGTGTTCAGTACTCTAGAAAATGGTGTGTAAGAATGCTCTGCAATCTGCAGTGATTAGAAAAAAATAATCTTGTGTACTTGTAGGCTGCTGAGAAAGAAGCTGCTCTGGCAAAGCAGGAGGAGGAGAAGGCTGAACTACGGAAGCAGGCACGGGCAGAAAAGAAAGCTTCCAAAAAAGCTAAGAAAACCAGGGTTGGAGACAAGCGCAAAGCAGATGATGATGATGAGGGAGAGTGGGGACAAGAAGAAGAAGGTAAAAACCATGGAAACTTCAGACCTCTGGCAACAGGGTTATGGGTTATGGGCGTCCTCCCTTCAGTCAGAGGCAGGTGGGGAAGTGCTGTCACTGGTGTCTTCAGAGCTGCTGTCCCCTCGGGACCTCTTTCTCCTAGGAGGTCCTTAGTGTAATGAAATGAAAGCAAGACTGAATGGTTTTTGACCAACAGAAATGTGTTTATAGTAACTTCTAGAGGGTTTTTTAGGTTTTTTTTATTTCAGAGAAATACTGTGGGGGTTTGGGGTTTTTTTTTTTAGTGATTTTCCTGACTGATCAAATGTTGCTGAGATGTGTGTAAATGCAGTCTGTTGGAAGGTCATAACAGAAGACTTGAATAGATTGCTGCCCCTGGGAGTTTTGGGAGCTTTTAGATGTTTGTAGTTTTTACTTATACATAAATAAATAAAATGCCATTAGGCAGAGAAAGAAAGTGAATCAGTAGTTGTAACTGATGGAGGAGGGGGAAAAGGGGAAAAATATTCCTGTTGCTTTCATCTACATCTTTGCTGCCTTGGTCAAATAATCTCGTTATTAAAAACGTGAGAGGCTTTTTTGTCTCTCAGATGTGGCCTTGTATTTGTAGTTTCACATGCCATTTCCAAACCCTGTAGTGGTAATGGAGGACAGCTTGACTTCAGTGGTGGATGAAGTGATGTGGTTTTCTTTAGTAAGGATTTAAATTTCATTAATCAGCAGAGCAGCCCAGCAAGAGGCACAAGGGAGACGGCGATGGCGTCCTTCTGGAAGAAGACATGGAGGTGGAAACTGGGCTGTTTGGAAGAAGCGGACCTGAAAAGCCAGATCACCCAGCAGACCAAAAGGAAAAGGCATCTACCAGCCGAAAAGACATCCCCAAGGTTTTACATGACAGCAGTAAAGATCACGTCACCGTCTTTGTCAGCAACCTGTCCTACAACATGGCAGATCCCGAAGTGAAACTGAAAGAGCTCTTTGAGAGCTGCGGGGAGGTGGCAGAAATCCGGCCGGTGTTCAGCAACAAGGGGACTTTCCGAGGCTACTGCTACGTGGAATTTAAGGAAGAAAAATCTGCTCTCCAAGCTCTTGGCTTGGATCGCAAAGTTGTGGAGGGAAGACCGATGTTTGTTTCTCCGTGCATTGACAAGAACAAGAATCCACACTTTAAGGTAAACCCAGGAATCAGTTGAACAGTGGGACTGCACAGGAAAGCTGTCAGAATATGTTGCTTTTGGAGTGGTAATGCTGTGTCTTAGCAGCAGAGCTGTTTTCTGGGTGCTCTTTGCCATCAGCAGAATTGACATCAGATTTCTGCAGATCTTGAGTTACCTCATCTGGGCAGCTTGTTACTGGTGTGTGGTGCCCAGATCCTTGAGCACCTCAGTCTGTAATGTGCTTTTTTTTTGGGGTGAGTCACACAGCCGTGGGCACTTATTACACAACCCACTGGTTCTTGCTAATGGTCTGTACTGGAGATCAGTTGTATAATCAGTGCTGTTCTGCATTCTGGAGTTACTGTGCAGAAAATCTTAACGGTTCAGATAGTGGGAACTGAGCAAGAAGACATTATTGATGGCTGCTCTCATTGTAAGAGACACATAAGTGTTTAGAAGCACTTATTTGCAAGTCATCAGTGTATGCCTGTGTTTGTATGCTTATGTATCAAGATACTACTCAGACTTGAAGGTGTTTTTGCGTGACACAGATATGAAGTACTCTGATAAGCTTTTGGAGGTGTAATAGATTGAAATCCTTGGAGTCTCTGGCTTGGTATGTTAACAGCATCTTCATTTCTTCAGGTCTTCAGGTATAGCACTACACTGGAGAAACATAAATTGTTTATATCTGGGCTGCCGTTTTCCTGCACTAAGGAAGAGCTGGAAGACTTGTGTAAAGCACATGGGAATGTGAAAGACATTCGGCTGGTCACCAACCGAGCTGGGAAACCCAAGGTAGGCATCCTTAATGCACACTTAAATTTAAGAAATCCTTCAAAAAGCAGCTCTTCGTGAGGTTTGGATACGAAAAATAAGCTTTGTATTTTCAAAGTTACCAATCTGGCTTTGCATTAAAACTTGTGGAAGTGCTTGGATTTGTGCAGCCTTTGTGCCAACAAAGGAGGAGGAGAAGGAGAAGAGGAATTTTCTGAAATTGCCCAAGAAGGATGTGTGATGTAAATGGGATGGAAAGGAAGATGTTTACAGCACTTTCAGTTCAGTAAAAATAGGCATTAGTAAGTCTGCAAAGTGTGTTTGTTTCTAAAATAACTGACTAGTTAAGGTTCACCTGGTGTAACCAATTCCCCTCCTCCTTTTCTTCAGCTCCTGAGGCTGTTGTTGTAACACCTGCTGCAGTGACAGATTTGCCAGTCAGAAATGAGCCTGCTTTCTCTGACAAGGCTCATTATTTCCATCCTAAAATAAATGGGTCCTTGTTAAACAAGAGACTCAAAACCAGCTGCTGCTCTGCCAAAATTCTACCTGCTAACAAGCACCATCCTGGTGCTGGTGTTCCTTTCTTTAAAAAAAAAAAACAACATATTCTAGCTTTTGGTAGCACCTCAAGTACAGCTGCTGCTGCCTGCGTGCTCTCATGTGTACCCCAAGTCTTGCAGTCCACATTCTGAGCTTAGTTTGAGCTGGGATTCTGTCTCGGCCACAAATAAATGTACTTTGTTATATAAAACCCGCTGTGTTTCCTGTGAAACTGGATAATCCAAAAATGCCACTTAAGGGTTTGGATGTCATTTAGAAGAGTAACAGTAACGGAGGTGGGAGGTGATGTACTCGCTGGAGGAGCCTGCCGCAGCAGGTGCTGGAGGTGGCCTTTTGTCCGTGTGCTGTAAATAAAACCCCATCACTGAAGGCGCACCAGCAGCGGTGCGGTCTGCAGCTGTTCCTGCACCACCTCAACGCGGATTCATTTCCCGCAAAGAAAATGAATTTCTTCCCAGCTTTTGTCCCCAGTCCCTGTTCTCAGGCAGCAACCCCAGGCTCTTTAGGGACGGTGCCTGTCAGTTTTGTTAGAGCCGCTTAGGAGTTTTACTGCTCCTGAAACCAAGGTGGCTGCAATGGACTTAATTCCTTGGGTATGAGTTGCAGCTTAGTGAAGACTCACAGCAGAGTTTGTGTGGGTCTTCCTCTTCTAGCTCTGGGGATTGGTTGATCTTTGATTTATCTTTTCCTCCACTAGGAATCCAAATCTGTCCAGTACCAGCTTTACCCTGAACTTACGCATAATATACATCTAGAAGTGAAGGCTTGCCACTAGTGCAGTACATCATAATACTTACTTTACTGCATCTTGTTTTTCATCTTTTTAATACCTTTTCCACAGATTAAGGCATTGTGAATGAAAGCCAAGAAATGCAGGTTGTAGGTTTTTGTAGATAAGAATTTTATCTACACAGATACAGGTTGAAGAATACTGGGACTCTTAGCTGTGTTTAGGCCTGCTTTCCATACAGTTCTCTTACCAGTTGACCAAATTATTAGCGCAAGCTGCAGAGAAAGAAGCATTAAAATTAACGTAGATTACCTCTCTTCCTTATTCAGGGCCTGGCCTATGTGGAATATGAAAACGAAGCTCAGGCCTCGCAGGCTGTGCTGAAAATGGACGGCCTGGCAGTAAAGGAACACGTCATCAAGGTGGCCATCAGCAACCCCCCTCTCCGAAAACTGCCCGACAAGGCGGAGGCAGGCAGAGCCTCGCCGTTTGCGGTGCCACGACAGCTTTACGGAGCGTAAGTATTGGTGAGGGAGCCCTGCAGTGCTTAAAAAGGAAGTATTTGGTTTCATTATAGGCTGAAATGTAGGAATCTCATCTCGAATACGTTGAGATGAAACATCAGATTTGGGTTGCGGGATTGATGAGCGTTGGGCAGTTGTTTTCTGCCAGGGCTGCTTCAAAGGGCACCCACTGAAAGCTTTGCACCGCTTGTTACTGAAACAAATGACAGGTGTAACAGTTAAATGATTGTCCCTTGTGGTGAACAAAGTCCTTCTTGTTTCCCCAAGCTAAACTCGTGTGTTCAGAGAGCACTGGGATGTTTTTAAAACGCCATCTTTTGTCCTCCAGGCGAGGGAAGGGAAGGACGCAGCTTTCCATGATGCCTCGCGCGTTACAGCGCCAGAGCAATCCTGTGGCTAAGGCGGAGAACGGGATGGTCCAGAACTCACCAGCAACTTCATCCAAACCCCCCGAGGAGCCTAAAAAGATGTCCAATGCTGACTTTGCCAAGATGCTACTGAAAAAGTGAGCAAAAATACAAAAAAAAAGTCTGCAATCAGCAGGTCTGGTAAAATGTGAAATGCCTTTATGGAAGCCATGTTGTGTCCTTATGCTAGCGAGGGGAGAACGCCGGTCGCAATCATGTGTAAATACTGTTCTGGACTGCTGCATTCATCGAGATCAGTGTAGGGCGGTACAGATCCACTTTCTTTTTTTCCTCTGTTTCTAAGAGCAAAGAGTTACACTATGATCTGGTAAAATAGCGTTATACGATTCCTCATATTGAGGGTAACGAGGGGGGAAATATTTCCTGTCCAGGTTGGATGCCACATCAAGTTTGATGAATAGTTTACAAATATTTCTCTTTCATTAACGAACGAGATCCGATGTGAAAGCCGAACGCTAAACCTTGTCAAGCTCCACTGGTCGGTTCAGATGGCGATTGCGGTCGTTCTCTCTGACGACAAACCCATCTTCCACCCAAACACACACCCACGGGGACATCATCTCCTTCCATTGCGAGTTAAATGGCAGATGCTAGTGACTTCACCACAATGGCCTATTTTAGTATCGGGAGAGTTTCTATACATATGTGTGTATATGTATATACACAAATATACATAGATATGTATTCAATTAAGGTTCTGTTCCAGTTGACCCGTTTTTTATATTGTGTATTTGTAAAAGACATTGGAATTATTATTTTTAAGTGTCATGAGCTAATACTTAGATTGGTATTTTTTTTGTTTCCCATAAAAGCTGTACATGCTGTTGCTGAGGACCACGTTTTCTTGGTTGTTTTTTGCTAGTTAGCTCATACGTCTTTCGCAGGTGGTTTCTGTATGGTTTTGTACAAATGTGAAGTGCAAGCTGACGTTTCTTGGTTTATTAAACTCAAGTTCTCAAAGGTTTTCTATAAATACTGTTGCTTTTGTTTAAATGTGGGTGTTGGCAGCGGGGCAGTACTGGTGTACCTCGAGATACAGCGTAACTCGCGTACCTTTACCTAGCTCATTCCATCCTAGTACAAATAACCTGAAACCACTCCAGAAACCTCCTCAGACTTTAAAATAATCTGGTACATGATTTTTTTGGGTAGAAATTTTACTGCTTGTCGACTACAACTGCTGCTGACTCTGGAAGCCAACACGTCTGGGGGCTTCACTTGTAAGACACAAGCACTGCTGCAAATAAACACTATTTTCAGTGCTTGCACTCTGCTGGTTTGCCTTGCTTTTCCTTTAAAGTGATGAGTCTCCGCTGTAGCCTTGGAACCATGGAATTAACATCATTTCCTTTGGCTGCTGGGGTTCAGAGCCCTCTGTGATACCTGGCAGTGCAGTTGGGTGCAGCTGAGGGAGCCAGGCTGTGCACCGTGCACCTTGCTGCTTCACAAACTGAGCAGAAAAGTGTTTTCAGAACAGCCTATTTCAAACAGACTTTAATAGTAAAAATAGTTTATTAATCTGTTACTAAAATAACATTATTTCCCCCCCTCCCCAAGCTCTAAAGTGCAGATTTTTATACTCACTTTGCACTACAAAAATAAGCATGCTTTGTAAGGACAGGACAGCCTTCATTTATTGTTTGCCTCCCCTGTCAGCAGTGATGGGTACACAGGCGTGGAGTGGTGCTGTAGGGTGCAGGTCCCTCCCAGTCTCATCCTATAGCCTGCTGGGATAAACCGTGTAACAACCTTACAGGTTGAGTTAAGAGGGAAGAAACTTAACACTGGGGTCAGTCTCACACCTGGGTTTGATCTTAATAGCACTCTGAACTGGACTAGATTGAACTTTTCTGATGTTGGATCAAGCTGTGCCACAGCTGGCGGGCAGGGGAGAGACCTGCTCTTCTCTTTTAAAAGAAGTGGGTGCTTTTACCTTACAAGCACAGCAGCTCCCAGGCACTGCACTGAACTGTGGCTCCTCTGATTCTTGACACGTTCATCACAGTAATAACATCACTTCATCATTAATTGCATTAAGTTTTCTTGTGTACACTGAAGAAACTTCAGGTTTTGGCAAACTCACTATACAAATCCTTACCAAATTGTAACAGCTGGTAAAGGTTGTCTCATGGTTCTATCTAAAAACCTGTTCCACCCACAGCTTTGCAGAACCCTGCACTGAAATGTGCGAGGATTTTGCAGTTTCCCAGGGCAGGCGTCTCAGGCCGGGTGCTGGGCAAGTCCCTCTGTTGGTTCAGTGAAAGAAGTCGGAGCGTTTCTTCTCTTGTTCCAGTCACATCATCTGTAATCTTAGACTATAAATACTTTAATAAAAACTCACCCCAGGAAAGGCGACTGAAAGTAAACATGCAAAGTGCTACTGCAAACAGCAATGGGAGGGGAGGGAGAGAAGCCTTTGCAGCTCCTTGACAAGGTAAGATGATGCTGTTGACCATGGAGGTGAATGGTTGTGGCTGAATCTGCTTCCCAAAGCTTAACTTTAAGGAGAAATTAAATCCTGCTTCAGCTTGTGGAGCCTCTCTGCCACCTCTCCCACCCTCCTTCCAGTAGCACAAGCAAGTTACAGTGCAGAGTCAACATCAACAGTTCACATTGCAGCTTGGCATAATGTATATAAATAAATTATATTAATTTAATCAAATGTAAGACACTTTAAATAAATGAAATGCTGAAGAGTGACCTC